CATTCTTCGTACCACGAACACTGACATTATTGTGCTATTACCTTAATTCTGCTTCTAGCTATTTTGAATTTAGGCCAGTTCATTTCTCCTATAGATTGCATTTACAGGAGCTTTTTTCTATGGAATGGTGACTTTTTCATTATTTTCTATGAATTATTTAGACTACACTGTCACTCCATTATATTTTGAAGTTTTTCTGATCTATTCCTGTTTCTCCCCCGCTCAGGAAAATGCATGCAAAATTCCGCTTAACCTTGAAAGCCTTTGGACTTCATAGAATGAATTTATTGGTTAAAGATAAGCCATTGCTGAAAGTTGTGGTCTCCATACTACCTGCTCTGAAGTAATGAGCTTCCCTAATCCCTTTTAATTATTATTTGTGTGTGTGTGTGTGTGTGTGTGTGTGTGTGTGTGTGTGTGTGTATTGCATTGATATTTCTTATTAGGAAACGCTTGTGATGACTTAGAAATAAATAGTAAATAAGATGAAAAGCAACCAGAGTGCACTATGATATCTTCCTTTAACTGTATATCAGATGATCTTTGCCTGAGTAGCAAAATCATTAGTGTGATGGAATTTAGTAACTGGATTCCCAGGAGGCAGGGGGTGCATTCCAGAGGAATAAGAGTCGCTCATTCCAGATATTATGTATGAGAGAAAAGGGATGAAGTCAATCCCTCCCTAATAGTTCTGAGTATATACTAGATGCAGATAGTAAAGTGCTTCGGTTTGGCAAAATTTATGTCTATGTATATGGAACAATAAAAAACTCAGCTTTGAAGAATCACCATATATTTTTCTTAAGTTTGGAGCTGGAAGTTAGGATCTCTCAGCACCTTCCAAATTAACTATAGTTTCCTAGGGTTACTGGGAATTAAAAGAAGTGAAGAGGCAACATCTGGCTTTATCCGTTATCAGAAGAGTTGGCTGGTTGCAGATATCCATCTATCTATCAATCAGAATAGAACTGGAAGGGACCTTGGAGGTTTTCTAATCCAACCCCCTGCTCAACAGGAGACCCTATACCATTTCAGACAAGTGACTATCCAGTCTTTTCTTAAAAACCTCCAGTGATGGAGCACCTACAACTTATGAAGGCAAGATGTTCCACTGGTTAATTGTTCTCACTGTTAGAAAGTTTCTCCTTAATTCCAGATTGCTTCTCTCCTTAATTAGTTTCCATCCATTGTTTCTTGTCTTGTCTTCTAGTTCTTATTTCTGGAAAATAAGTTGACCCCCTCTTCTTTGTGGCAGCACTTCAAATACTGGAATACTGCTATTATATCACTCATAGTCCATTTTTTCTCTAGACTGGCCATACCCAATTCTCACATATGAATTTTCTTCATATGTTTTTGTCTCTGGGCCCTTAATCATCTTGGTTGCTTTTCTTTGCACTTTTTTCCAAAGTTTCACTGTCTTTTTTGTAACGTGGTGACCAAAACTGGATGCAGTATTCCAGGTGTAATCTTACTAAGGCTTTATAAAGCAGTACTAATACTTCACATGATTATGATTTTATGCATGTTTATACAACCAATGCCGCACATTGCTGACTCATGTTTAAATGATCATCCACTAGGACTTCAAGGTCCCTCTCACAGTTACTGTTTTTGAGCCAGGCTTTGTTTAATCTGTAGTCATACCTTTGGTTTTCCTGCCTGGGTATAAAACCCTGCTTTTCTTCATATTAAATTTCATGCTGTTGAATAGCTGATTGTGCAAGTTTGTCAAGATCTTTTTGGATCCTGAATTTGTCTTCTGGGGTGTTGGCTATTCTTGCCAGCTTAATGTCATCTGCAAATTTGATAAGTTCCTATTCTAGTCCCTCATCTAAGTCATTTATGAAGATGTTGAAGAGTACTGGGCCTAAGATGGAACCTTGTGGTACCCCATTAATTACTTCCTTCCATGTCAATGTAGTACCATTAAGGACTATTCCTTGAGTATGGTTTGTCAGCCAGTTACAAATCCATCTGATGGTGATGCTGTCTATCCCACATTTTTCTAGTTTACCAAGAAGTAGGTTGTGTTCTACTTTGTCAAATGCCTTGCTGAAATCTAAGTATACTATGTCCACAGCATTTCACTAGTCTAGTAATTTAGTCACTCTGTCAAAGAATGAAATAAGATTGATTTGGCATTATCTATTTTTAACAAACTCATGCTGGCTACCAGTTATTTGTTTCTAGATGTTCACATATCTGTTTTTTGATTATTTTTTCCATTATCTTCCCAGGTTTTGATATTAGGCTGATTGATCTGTAGTTTCCTGGGCCTGGTTCCCCCCCTCCTTTTTTTTTTTTTTTTGAAGATGGGAATCACATCAGCTCTTTTCCAATACTCTGGTAGTTCCTTGGAGCTCCAGGATTTTTTTAAAGATATGAAACAATGGTTCTGAGACAACATCTGACAGCTCTGGGATGTAATCTATCATGTCCCAGTGGTTTATATTCTAAATTATTGTTATTTGACAGAAGTCTCAAGTCATTTGTAAATGGAAACTGCTGCTGAAGTAAATACTTATCCCCTTGCAATTCTCTGTATACCTCAAAATGTGGTCCATAGAAATAGGAGTAAGATGAGAGTGAGCACACCCAATGTGCAAATCAAAGTTTGTATTAACTGTATTAGGACAACTAGCGCCTAACCCAGGTTTGATTGCAAAGAATTCAGTCATAACAGAACCTTTGATGAGATGTGTATAAACCATTCAAAGAATAGGACTGAAATGAAAACAAATATGTTTATAAAAATGAGTATCTCACCTACAATGTATTTAACCATAGATAAATACTGAGTTTTCTGACTTATACAGTTGCCTCAGTGCTCTTTTCCTCCTAAATTTGTCATACTGTTCAGGAAAGTAGATAATATCTTTCATCAAGTTGATTACAGTTCACCAAAATATGATACAATGCTGACGAATCAGATTCCATCTTTCAACTGAACTGTTGTTTTGGATTTACACATTTGTTAACTTCTAACTATTGCCTTTACTTCTCTTATGACAAATCTGAGAGATCACTGCCAAATAAGCCACAGCCATTTGTTGTGTAACAGCACCTTTAGAGGTTTTGAAAGCTTGTTCTAAGTGAATTCAAATGCACCCAGGTAGTTCTTAATACTGCTAGTAATGATTTGTCAAGGGCATTTTTTTTTTATTTTTCCAGTCATCTAGAGAATTCTAATTACAAATAAAAATTCAAAAGAAAGTTGTTATGGATTGTCATGACTTCAACCTAGAATGCTCATATTTTTAAGCAATTAAAAGCTAATGAATCTATTCATTTTACAAACATGGAACTTTGTAGATCTCAAGCATATCCTGGTGGTAATCATTGCATTTCCTGACAGATAATACTCAGCTATAGTAGCTAAAACTCCTTAAAGTCAGTCAACCATGAATTTGGAGGGGGAAAAACTGCTGGAAATTGTATCTTTAACTTTTTTATTAAAAATGTAATTTGGCACATTGATTTTGACTGTGATAATTATATAAGTGGAAATCATTCATAGAAAGAGGCTGTGAATTTTTAGACTAGTACAATTATGCAGCAAAGAACAGAGACTTTATTAAGTGATGGGTCTTGTGGTCTAAGACATGGGTCTCCAAACTTGTCAACTTTAAAACTTGCGAACTTCAACTCCCAGAATTCCCCAGCCAGAATAGGTGATTGGGGAATTCTGGGAGTTGAAGTCCACAAGTCTCAAAGTTGACAAGTTTGGGATCCCTGGACTAAGAGAAGCTAAAGATGATCTTATGGAGTTAGACAAACTAAGGATGATGTAGAAGAGTTGGGTGTTTTCAGCCTGAAGGAATGACAATTTAGAGACATAAGACCCAGAGTCAGATACCTGAAGATTAACTCAGATGGAGCAGAAAAGTTATTCTCTATTGGTCCAGAAATTAGAACCCCATCAACCCATGTGTTTCCTATGTTCCAAAATATATACCCATCACATTATTCTCTTCGTGGAAACAACATTACGCAAAACACAAAAAGGGAATAGGAAATCCCAAGATGTTAAAAGAAAAGAATTTGAACCGGCAGCATTCACTATACCTCTCTACATCTTTTTGTTCTTGAAATCACCCTTTCATCACATCAATGTACAAGTTCATAGCCTGTTCTGTAAGAACTATCTGTGATGCAGAATCCACATACAGCTCTGAAGCTCTTTGTATGGTTCCACTTCATTTTCTGCTGCTGCTACTGCTGCTATTTTTCAGGAAGTAATATGCAACTTATTTGTTGATCAAAAATTAAACATATATCTATCGTTCAAAAAAACAATTTGGAAGTGCAAAATGTACCAAGGATGAAATTTTCCAGTACTCATAGTATTCTGTTTCTCTCCCCAAAATGCTGAACTGGTCATTCCAGGAAATGCTTTCATGATATCCCAGAATTTTAACTTTCAGAACATCATGAATCACACCTGAAATACAAATGATCTATTTTTCTAGAACTATAGTTTCATGTTCCCTGGTGAAGGAAATCAGAAGAAGCTCTTTCAAAAATTGAACATTTTTAAAAAAGGGTGGGGATAGTCTTTTGACAAAAAGTGACATGGTATTACCTTGCTGACAAGCTCTGTTGATTTGTCTAATTATTTTAGAATAGAAATTAATATAAAGATGAGTAGTTAAGAGGCCATTTTTGATCTTTACCATTGGTATTAAAGAAAATCTTGCTTCATAGTAGCCTGTTTGTACATGTATTCCCTGCTAATATATCACCCCTCTAATAAATACAGATGCTTGGGGTTATCAAGGCAAGGAACACCAACTGTTCCAAAAGCAAAGCCAGAAAATCCAAACCATTTATGTGACAGGAAGGCATGTTCAATAAATTGACAGGAAGAGGGAGGGAGGGACAGGAGCCTGAGCAGAAGGCATGGGACAACTGTAGCTCTTTCTCCTTGGGGTCTGATGCCAACTGCTACCTGTCAAAAGGAAAGAATAGGCTGCACAGAAAAAGCCACACACATATCATAAAACAAAATTTATCTTTAATCTGTAAGTGTCAACAGCAGTACAAAATATGGAGTGATGGTGAATAGATTTAAGGGCAGAGAGGACAGTCTTGAGGTAAATGAGCATAAATAGGCAGTCATATAGACACTCCCCTGAAGGGTCAGATCCCCTTATCATGGCGTATATGGCATCACCCAATGATGACATGTTAAACATATCAGGAAAGCACCTTGTGCAAAAAGGGGAAGAGGAAGGAGAGAAGGGGAAGAAGGGGAAAAAGAAGAGGAGGAGGAAGAGAAAGAAGAGGAAGAGGAGGAAGAAACAAATATCCTCACAAAGATGTAAGTAAGGTGTCAGCATACACCAGAATATATGATATAAAGAAAGCGTCTTTCCATTTTGTCTTTTCTATTCAATTCTGAAGCAGAGAAGATTCTTAAAAGTACCACTGAAAAATTATTTAATATTTAATTTACCTCACGTCAATACTGCACAACAAAATCCAATAAGTCTGTTTATGCTATGAAGCAAAGCTAAGAATGATTTTTCCCTCTTAAATTAAGAGTCCAGATATTTTTATTTTTTAAAAAATCAAAATCCTTAGCAAGCTTGGTTGTCTTTTCAAACTGCTTCAAGAGGAGAGTGTGTGAGAGATGCGATGGCAACCTTTTCAGTTCATTTAAAAACTTTACACTGGACTGTACAAGATTTTTTTTCCTTTTTTTGATAAACTATTTACATTTTCAGACTTTTAAAACATATTCAAAGCAGCAATAGACACTAGGTTTTTTTTTTCCTTTACATGCCCAAATCATTACCAGCCCTGGGCTCAGGTAGGTACCTGCACTCTGTAAAGAATTTGTACAAGAAAATCTACCAGTTTAAAAATGGACTTATGGGGTGTAAGAAGAGCTTTGAAAGAACCACCCCCAAGAGAACCAAAGCATAGTACCTTGATGTGGGGAACCTCTGAGGTCCCCCCCAACAGCTCTACACAAAACTTTACACTTTGAAACAGCAGCTAGCATTGTCAGTCCAGCATGTCAGTGAATTGTGCTGATTAAATTAACATAGAATACAATTTCACAATATACATCACAATGTCAGGAAAGAAAATGGGTTACAGTAAGTAACAGCTTATAAGCTCGTCTTAGGGTAATGAAACATTTGTACATGGCAAATACAATAATGAATAGAAATATTTAAACATTCTAACATTTGCTACAGGCCAATGAAAGGTAGGAGAAGACAGAGGGGAAAAAAAACCTGTGCTTTTGAGAAAGCAAAACACAAATGACAGGAAGACCAATGGAGAATGTGGACTAGCAATACTGCAATGTGCAGTATACAAACAGTTGCACATTCCCCAAACTTTTGAAAGGATCAAGACCTCACTTGGGGTTTCCTAAGAAAGCAGAAGTTATAAAGCAAGCAGATCACTGAACTTTTTTAGAACTTTCATATTGTCATAAACACCAATTGGGTAGCATTTTCTTACACTCATGCTAAAACCACTCTTCTCTTTACACCAGTGAGCTCCCTCTGAATACTTTCCCTCAGCTTCCAAAAATTAATTTGGGGTGTTATAAAAAAGGGGGGGTATAAAATCCAATGACAAAGAAATCTAGCTATTTAAAAAAATTCTGTATATTCTTTTCCTTTCTAATGTGGGATCACAGTATTACAATATATCAACCAGCAAACAGCAATAGCAAAAAAATTCAGGGAACAAAGAAGGTAGTAAAAGGTGGAGGAGAGAGAAAAGAAAGTGAAGTAAAATGATTTTAAGAAACAGAGTACGTAAGTGCTTTTATGTTTTTAAAAACATCAATTGAGGTCACATGTTAGTTTTTTTTTTAAAGTCATGCTTAAGTGCCAACTTCAATCTTTAAACACGCATGCAATGAAGAGAAGTTCTGAGCGACTATTTTTTTTCAATTGAAAATATTAAGTACTCTAATACATTCTACCAGCTGCATTTCTGAGCAGTTGTTGGCACTGACAATCCTATCCAGATATACATACTGTATAAGGTTTTGCTAAAGCTTCATCTACCTACTCTGAAATATACCATGGGCTTCCCCTTTAATTTTGTTTTTCTATACTGGATCATTGGCATTTTTTACTGGGAAAATATTTGTAGTGAAGTAGAAATTAATAGTAAATTAGATGAAAAGCAGCAGAAGATACAACAAGAGCAGGCTTTAACAATGTATCAAGTGATGCTTGCATTTACAAAATCATTTGTTTCATTTACACAATTATTCAAACAATCATGTTTTCAAGTTACTGCTGTCCTTGTAAAACTGGTTTTGTATTTATTGTAAATAACAATCACACTCATTCATACAGAGTGAACACCAGAGTATAAATGTTGTCCCATCATAATCTCATCCTTCCTTCTTATACTGCCTCTTGATGACTATGGTATTAGCATACCATCATATATTTATATAACAGAAGACAGCGATTGCTACTGAACAGCAAAGCAAATGAATTGGTTGTACACAAGTCCTGCCTGTGGACACTTGGAAAATGACTCTGAAAAAGTCCCTGGACTTTGCCAAGCACCTCAGAACTCAAATTTTTCCAAGCTTCCATGCAAGCCTGAAAAAAAATCCACTGCCATAAGAGTTGCATTAACTTTAATACATCTCTTTAAAGCAGCAACATCTTTTTTTCAGAATATAATGAAAGATTTAACAACAACAAGAAGAAGCTGCTGCTTTCCTGTACAGAGAAGGCCAGGCTTATAGGGGTCCAAATGATTTCTTAGTTTTAAAGCATGCAGAGCCATAATGTACATATTCCAACCCTAAGCCTAGACTTTCCATTTTTAAAAATGCCAACAGCATTGCCTAACTCTTTCTCCAGCAATCTGCTGCCTACATTGTTGGGGTGGTGGATTAAATGCCTTAATATAAGCCTGCAACTCATACTGTGTATTCTAAGAAATAGACATTTCCATTGCAGCTGCTTTCTGTCCTTTTATAAACCCGGTGAAACTGTGTTTCAGTTATTTTATTCATGTCAAGTTGAATGGTTTGGTTATACCTTTTAAACAATATTCTTCAATTGTCAACAAAAGATGTCAGAAGTCTTCCCTTGAAAGTTAAATATTAAACTTTGTGTTTGCAAAGTACAGTTACTCTAACAATCTAAGTGCATGGCATCACATTCATTTTAAATAAGCATTATCTTGGACAATAGAAAATTATTACTGCCCTTTTGTATTTTAATGAAGAATTATAAATGCTACAGTTCTATTTTGACAAGCCAATACTGTTTTACACCAAACACAGATTTTTTTAAAAAAAAATCTATGTTATATTAACAACTGGAACTACTTACTTTAAAAGGCTGGATTAATCAAACAAACTTGATTATTTATTTGCTTTCTTATTTATTTGTTTTCCTATTGACAACATAGGTCACATTGGTTGCTTTCAAAGAAAGAACCAAGGATGTCCATCAGGTTTGCTTGAAGCAAATTACAAGAAAACTGTCTCCTTTACAATCTGTTTTTAAAGTTGGTTTAAATATAATCTCAATTAAATTGGAGGGTAGACTTTGGGGGAGGATCAGTTGCTACTCAGACTATCTTGGCAAAGATAGTCAAAGTGTATGATGTCAAAGAATTGTGACATCATACACTTGACCAAGATTCTTTAGCTTAATTGAAAGAAATGAGACCTAAGTTTGCCTTGTCCTACAGAGCTAAATAAGGATGTAAGAAATCATCACTTTTGTCACCTGAACTAGAATCACAGACTGCTAGAATGCCCAAAATATGTAGTTGTACTTCATGTCCTATGCTCTCATTTGCTAATGAAGAAATACTAAGAAACAACTGGCTATGTTATAATTCTTGGACAAATGTTTTACTGTTCTGCCAAACTATAATGCCACTACTACAGAGTAAATATGAGATTGTTATTTTATAAGCAGGTGCAATGTCTGAAGTATTTTGTGTTTATTATACGGGATTCAGATTGAAGGAGGGGACAAGGGAGGCAACTAGCCAGCTTAGCTACAGGTCCACAATACTGCTGCCACACTGCAGGCATAAAATCTACATGAGGTACAGTGATTTGTCAGCATTTAATATGGACCAATGTACACTGATACAGAACAAAAGTAAATACATAACTTATATATAGCTAAGTATCCATGAACAAAAAATAAAATTCTATCTCTATGTTATATTTACACATTTTTAAAAAATCTTAAATGAGATGGTGACTACTCAAGAACCTTGTTTTGAGCTCCAATGATGAATTTTAAAAAAGAAAAAATATTTTTGCTTCCCAACGATTGTCCTTCCTTGATTTTTATAGATACTTTAGAGCCAGTATAGGCTAATAAATATCATACACTGATACTGCAAATTTTAAATTCAAAACCTGTCCAATAAGTCACACTCTACCATCTGTTGATTCATGAAGAGCCAATCAACGTCAAGAACACAAATTTAAGTTACAGATCATCAACACAGATGGAGGACTGGAGCTCAAACAAAGTATTCATACATATAAGAATCTTGCATAAATAAATGAAATAACAAGACATAAAAAAAATGACTCAAATCCGGCAACTGTGAGGCAGGCCCACACGAGTCGAAACAGATGACTTTTGTTCATGTCGTTTTTTTTTTTTTGTACAACAGTTTCACATTAGTTAGAAGTGATAAAAAATACCATTTATATCCAGTGCTTATTACACTTACTAAACAACATCTGTGAGTGTGTGTTTTTGTAGTACGAGTAAAATCAAGTTTCAGTCCTAAAGAACAGTCCTTTGTTCTCTGCCAGCCTGCAGAATATTATTTTGGCATGGTCATAGAATTATAAAAAGAAAATACCTCACGAAACTAAATGTTTGCCCTTGTGCAAAAATAATTACAAAACATATAATGCTAGCACTACAGCATATTCTAGCTATGGAAAAAAAAACACAACCGAGACATGTAGAATGGAGAGAGATTTATAACAGGAGAAACTTGTAGGAAATTAATAAATAGTCGTTCTTTAGGAAATAACAGGTTATTTCCCATCCAAGCTACATCTATTAGATCAGTTCGAATTCCTAAGCAATCTCAAAGACCACAAAGGATTTTATTTCAGTACCTTAACTAGATGAAGAGGACTCTCATCAGCTAATGATAACAAGTGCCTTTGCATCTTGGCTAGACCAGTTTTAGTGTCCTAACTGTGGGATATGACAGAAGCATTCATTTAAATAAATAGGAAAGATAAATGATTCTATTCTAGATGATAGAAAATGGCTGCCAAAACTTGATGACTATGTGTGTATGCATCCACGCATACATGCACACACACACACACACACACACACACACAAATGCTCAATCTGCTTGCTGCGTGGATTAAAATCTCCTATTGTAAAATTGCAGAACTGCCTCCACTTGTAGAAATAATTACTGGAAACTGCAAGGTCATAATTTTCTTTTTCTGCTAAAACTACAAGATTTTTGATAGCATGATGATAATTTGGCTCGACACTACGTTAATGTTGCTGATGAGAACGCCAGTCTAAAACACTCTGAAAAGAACTAGGCAAAAAGATGCAATGGCCTCAATCAAAAGACCAAGCCTCCCTATGTAAACTTCCCATTGCAAATAGAAACAGAGGGAGCCTCATCAGCCATTTTCAGTAATGGAAGCTCTAGGCACAAAGATATGATTGCAATCATTTAAGTGTAGAAGGATCTAGGTCATATTTCATAGATTTATTACTTGGTGATTTATCATCTTTGCCATCCTACAAAGTGCTAAAATGCTTTTGAAAAACCTGGCACTCTTATCCCCTGAGCAAGCCAATAAGAATCTTCCTCCAGTCTTAAGAATGGCATGTCTGTAGAAGGCAGAACTCTTGGTACAATTCACCCTCATATAATTAAATGGTTTGGATGAAACATACCACTTGGAAGGAAAACAGAGAGGCAGCTGCTCCATTTGGATTAATACCTGATATATTTTCTTAATCACTATTAAACATTCACACTGAGAATCTAATTGGCATGGAAAAATTTAGCCCACCATACCATAAAATGTCTATGTGAAACTGGTTTTACTTAGAGGGTATATAAAAACTGCAATCTTTTCTAGTATATGTACCAGTTAGAAATAATTGTAACTATTGATAGTCAGATTAAAAAAAAAGAAAGCATTTATATTCTTTTCTCTCCAGATCAAAGGAGGAGTTGGTGAGTTTATAAGTCACTAATCAGGTTTTGTACTTTGAAATACATTAAATGGAACAATTTCAAATTTCAGTGTTAAATACTGACATCCACAAACAACTGGATGTTTAATTTGGGAATGCTTAATTTTACCTTGCCCTTGGCTTCTTAGAAATCAATATTATGTATAATAAAACTATATATTAACACTGAAATAAATAAGAATTTAAATTTCTACAGCAGTTTTGATCTAAAAGACCCAGCATAATTCACAAATACTGACCTTGGGGTATAGCTTTGTGTTCTTTTGTTTTGTTTTTCTTATATGGCAGATAACATAAAGTATTGAAAATTTTCAAATACTGCTGAGCATATGCATCTAAATTAATAAAGTGAAATTGTAAGTACAAGGATGATCCTTGCATCCTTTTCAGTTCTCTAGAATTAATATTCAACACAGATTATCTGCAAGTTTTAAAATTTCTATAATATCATAAGGTTACATATCATCAAAGGATGATTATGGGAATAGCATTAGGAAGATTCCTAAACAGCGGCAGCACTTTACTCTCCAAGAAAGAGGAAGACTATGTTGTATTTCTAGGCTATCTATGTACTAGAAAAAAAGTTAAGATAATCTAATACATAAACTTAACAGAAATAGTTTTAAACCTTGCATCCAATACTGTGTTAGGCTACAACTTTCATTATGCCTAGCACTAGGCATATTAGGTGGGGAATATATGAAGTGTTGTCTGACCAACATATAATAACTCAAGATTAGAAAACAGAAGTACTTTAGGGAAGCCTCACAAATTATCCTAAAAAGAAACAGCATAGTAGATAAATATTGTATACTCTCCTGTTATGATACTATTCTACTAATAATAGCATTTTTCCAAGTGTTTCTGACATGTAGAAACACATTTCCTCGTGTGTGAGAGAGACAGAGAGAAAGAGAGAGTTATTCCTTTCCAATATTAAGTGCCTCATTATTTTTAAGATACCACACACTTTTAGGGGGAAGGGCTCTTTAGAAGAAATAAAAGGCAAACAAATGATAATGCCATTACAACAATACATTTGAATTATTTTTTTTTTACTGCATGGCCCCCTGACATTCTGGAATGAATACATTAAGACCAAATGTAATTAAGACTGAATATAAGAATTCAAAGCAAAGGGGCAGAGAATGACTTGAAGGTGGGCTTACATTGCTAAGACAGGCCTGTCTTAGCCGGTGATCACTCTGTTGTGCTTACTTATGTTTCACACTGATGGTACATCAAGAGGCAGAAGCAATTGAACAAGTGCATTGTAGCAATCATATTCACTTTTTAAGCAATATCCTGTCTCCAGATTCCTGAGTATTTTACAATTTTCTGGAAAAAGTAGGATTTTCTTTTAAGATATATCAGTATTTTTAAGATGCCAAAGGATTGTCTAAGACTTTACAGTGTCTCCCTTAAGACTTTTTTTTTTTTTTTAAATATTAAGATTCAGAAGTTAGGAAAGTTTGGCACATCAGAAAGTTAGCTATATCTAAGGAGGAAAAAAAAAGAATTTAGAGACCTTATTTTAAAAAGGGTGAGCTAATACAGATAGATGTACACGCTTAGGACTTGTTCTGTTTCATGATAGGAAATTTGCAGGGTTTTTTTGTTTTGTTTTTCAAATAATTCAGAATAAAAACACATTCACAATCTGTAGGCTGGCACAGCATACCTGAGTGAGAATGTAAAACCCCCATTAAAACAGTAACTTAAACCTTTTTTTATCAGCATCCAGGAAGAGGAAAGAAGAGAGAGAGAGAGAGAGAGAGAGAGAGAGAGAGAGAAGACTTGTAAGAGAACAATTGATTCATATCAGTTTTCAAGTCCCCAATGTCTGATACTTAATGTCTTCACCTAAATTTTTTTAAAAAAAGTTCATGAAAATTAGGAAACAATCTGTGTCACACAATAAGAAACATTTAAGACCATTCTGCAGATGTAACTGAAGGAGCCATACATGCATGCAGGCTCATTTAAGAACTTTTTGTTCAAAAAAAAGAAAGAAAAGAAAACAAAGTCAGAGTAATTCAGCAAACATCCTCAGTTGGCAGCGACCGCCTCATGGGCTTCGTTTTCACTGCTATAGTCTGATTTGGGGTCATCCTCAAAGTCCTCGTACATTTCCATCTCATCTTCCCCGTTTATCATTTCATTTCCAGCAAGGCTCCCACTGTCCGTCTTCATGCTGTAAGTGCTCTGAATGACAGGGATGCTGGGCTCAGGACTAGCAGAAGTGCTGGAACAATCAGATGTCATCTGAGGCGATGGCGTAGTAGTTGCCATAGTAATAGCACCAGGATAGACCACTCCTGTTCCTGTGGCAATTGGAATCTGAGGCTGTTGCCTACAAGGAAACAAAGGTATGTTTGAAAAGTGGTCCCTCCCATTTTAACAAAGGATGCAGCAGTATTGTTTTCTCCTTTTAACACTTATTTTTTAAACATGTTGAACCATTTGACATAGGCTTCCCCATAATATTTATCAGTATGCCGATGATGTCACTTGGTTTGGTAACAAAACATCTGCAAGAAAACAGTCAAGCTCAGGGACCACCAAAGACCCCACAATTCAACCCTGAGCTAAAACTATTCTCTTCTATCTGTATTGATGACGCCTTTCTTTGGTTGTGTTTTGGATTTTTTTCTTTCTTTTTGTGCCTTTGAGTCAGTGTTGACTCCTAGTGACTGCCTGGATAAATCCTTTCAGTTTTCTTGGCAAGGCTTTTTGGAAGTGGTTTGCCCTTGCCTCTTTCCTAGAGCTGAGGGGGAGTGTCTGGCTCAAGGTCACCCAACTGTTTTTTGTGCCAAAGGTAGTACTAGAATTCAGGGTCTCCCAGTGAGTCAGTTTGGTTTAGTGGTTAAGACACCAGGCCAGAAGCCAGGAGACTGTGAGCTCAAAAACAATTAAAATCAGTAAGACTGTCATTTAGTAATACAATATAAATTATATTTGTATTTTATATTACAATTATAAAACAACATAAAATAAGCAAGGGGGAAGGAGAGAATTAAACTCTCTCTCTCTCTCTCTCTCTCTCTCTCTCTCTCTCTCTCACACACACACACACACACACACACACACACACACACACACACCACAATCTAACTAATAAAATTCTGACAATGCCTTTGGATACTGGTAAAATATTCCTCAGGTAATTCAAACCCTAATCTCTTCAAGCAAATACACCACCAAAACAATAAATGCCTTTTTCCATGTTTCCATTAGTACACCTTGTATAAAAGAGCTTCATCATAAAGTCTTATTAGTAGACAAAAAAAATACCATGGAATAAAGTAATTCTTGAAGTAGACCAATGGCAAGCTAAAAATGGTGATCCCCATCTTGAATTATTCTGAAACTGAGCCATAACCAATATAACGAATATAGTATACAGTTCATTATCCCAGGATTAGACATCATTAAGTGTGGGATTAATTGCACAAATATGTCCATGGGCATCTCCCACAAGGGCCCCTTGAGATAACAAACGGACCGCTGTAGACACAGGATGCATTCATCAACCATTTGGACAGACTCTGATAAGAACACCTGCAGTAGCCTTGCATCTGGAAAGTGTCTGTTATTTGATACATTGTAACCACCCCTATATACGTCTTTTGCTTACGCTGTGTGATGTAAAAACCTTAGTAACAATAAAATAGGGTGCAAGAGTTAGCTCTGGGCTCCCATCCCGAGATACCTGCGTGCGTGTCTCATTCTCCATGGGAGACCACCACATCTGGTGACCCCGACGTGATCCACTGAAGGATACGTCCCTGCCGACCCTTTACTTATCGCCTGGAATAGGCTTGGTGCACCCGACGAAGTTGCTGGCAACTGACTCCTCTTCGTAAGTATGGGGGGTGGAATGTCTCACGCTCAAAAGCAGCATGTGGAAGAGCTGAGGCTACTTGGCAGGAAAAAATATCTTACTGATCAGGAACAGAAATTAACCCGTCACCTTTCTAAATCTGAGGCTGTTAAATTGCTTACTTACGTATGGGCTAACTGCTCATCTTATCCGGAGTCTGGATCTTTAAAAGTAGATACATGGAGGAAAATTGGCACCGTTCTCCATCAGTCTCCAAGAGCCCCAGCAGAGATTTTATGCCTTTGGAAAATTGCCTATACCCTGATTCAAACCCATGCTGACTCGCCTCATCAGCCTTTATTAGACCCTCCACCGTATAAAAATCCGTCTGTTATGTTGGCCACTCCCTTACCCCCTGGAGCAGGTTTTAACTCTCCTTCTGCCCCTGCAAATTTTATGGATCCTGATAAGCAACAAACAGCCTCTCCTGTTCCTGCCACGTTGCTGGCCCGGAATCATCTGTGGTGCTTTTCAAAAGGCTTTAAACAATGGTGATTTAAGTGTTTCTGAACTATCCGAGACAGAGTTGTTCCCTGTTACTTACCAACAGACTGCAACAGGCTAAGTAGTTGATTGGGAAGCACTTCCCCTGGCTATGATCAGAGAATTGAAAAAGGCTACAAAAGATTATGGCATAACCAGTCCCTATACTAGAGGACTAATACATTCAATTGCTAGTGCATATCGAATGTTGCCTCAAGATTGGAAAGATCTGTTCCGCATGCTTCTTAACGGAACGCAATACGTAATTTTTGAATCTGAATATAAAAGAGAGGCACAAAAGAGAACTAATCACCCAGGTTCACAATGGACAGCAGAACAACTCTTTGGAGAAGGCAATTTTGCTACCCTTAATGCTCAAGCTCAAACTTTTACTCCCTTTGCATTTCCTATCATTAACGCTTGTGTTCTTTCTGCCATGGCTCGTGTTGATGAGTCTGGCACCCCGATTCAATCTTTTTCTGCCATTCGCCAAACTGCAACTGAATCCTATGCAGACTTTGTGAATCGCCTGCAAGTTGCCATTGAGCGTCAAATTTCAAACAGAGATGCAGCAAATGAAATCCTCATAAAATTGGCTTATGAATATGCAAATGCAGACTGCCAGTCCATTCTTAAACCAATTGTTTCCACTCCCTCGGCCACCTTAGCAGATTTTCTTAAAGCCTGTCGCATTGTGGGAACCAATGCTTTTCGAATGGACACTCTTGCAGCTGCAATCCAAAAGGGGAATCAACCCCAAGGCACTTGCTTCAATTGTACTCTTCAGATATATTGCAACTTTCTCTTGCTGACTGGGCAGGATCTGTTTCCTGTCATATTCCCTCTGACCCTCGCTTCCAACTCCTTAATAATGTTTCAATTTCTCTGCATTCTCCCATTTCCTCTTCTCCCATTCCTAACGCTGTCACCCTGTATGTTGATGGCAGCAAGACTTATGGTTCATGTGTATGGAAGGAGGGTGAACAATGGCACACAAAAATTACTCCTCCTCAAACTTCTGCTCAGCGTGCTGAATTTGCTGCTACAATATTGGCTTTACAAACTTTTTCTTCTGAACCTTTTAATCTTATTTTAGATAGTCTTTATGTATATAAAGTTCTCACCTCTTTATCTGACTCATATGTGTTACCCTCATTGGATGACTCTCTCCTCAGTCTATTTCTCACACTTCAATCCCTTCTTCATTCCCGCTCTACTTGTTTTTTTCCTGCTCATGTTAGAAGTCACCAACCTTTCCCTGGTATTATCTCCGAAGGCAATGCCAAGGCGGATGCTGCCGCTTCGGCCGCCTCGACTCACCAGGATGTTTCTGTCCTTGTTTTATCTCCCATAACCCCATGGGACAGCCATTCATATTTTCATCAAAATAAGAAGGCTTTAATGAAACAATTTTCTTTAACAGCTATGGAGGCTGCGGCTATCATACAACAATGTCCCACCTGCAGCCTCCAAGCACACTCTCTTCCTCAAGGGGTCAACCCAAGAGGGACGCCGAGCTGTCAACTTTGGCAAATGGATGTTACACAATATTTGCCATTTGCCCCCTGGAAATATTTGCATGTTTCCATTGACACCTATTCAGGTTTTATTATGGCCACCCCTCAAAGGGGTGAGTCTGCTAAACATGTTATTAATCATTGTATTCGTACTTTTTCTACCCTGGGCAATCCAAAAAAAATTAAGACTGATAACGCTCCTGCTTACACCAGCACCTCCTTTGCACAGTTTTGCTCTCGCTGGTCTATTGTTCATAAATTTGGCATTCCATATAACTCCACTGGTCAAGCGATCGTGGAACGAGCCAATCAGACCGTAAAAAAGGCTCTAGACATGCATGCAAAAAAGAAAGGGGAAAATACCCCCGGCTTGCCTGGGATACAAAACACTCTTAATCTTGTACTTTTTACCTTAAACTTTTTGAATGTTTCTGGCACCCCTGGCTCAACTGCCGCAAGCAGGCATTTTTCTGCTTCTCCCACAGATTCTTCACGCCCCCAGGTATACTATCGACGTTTGCCTGATCCCACCTGGAAAGGGCCTGCCTCCCTCATTACCTGGGGTCGAGGCTACGCTGCAATAGATGACCATGGCGAGATCATTTGGACTCCAGCTCGTTGTGTTCATCCTTATATGGCTCAACATACACCACCTCAGCCAGGCATATGAGGATCAGGGACTGTGGGCTTTTAATGCTTTTGTACGGAATCCCAGGCGCACTGCTCTTACACTTAACGTCATGAATGTTGGATCTGCATGCAAATTCCCGGTGACAGTCGTGGTGGCCTTATTTTCCATGCCATCCCGTTCAATGAAACAGGATGGAAGCAGCTGTGGGACATAACTACAGAAACATTGAATATGACATATGCTGTGGGCGCTCGTATAATGGAACCTGCCAGATTTTGTTTTTATAGCACAGGACTATTCCGTACTGCCATTTATTTGGGAACTTATAGTAATTGTCAACAAGTTATTATAAGGAATTCAGCAAAGAAATGCAAATCCATCAAAAGCAACCTTACTAAGATAAATGACACTTATCGAAGCAATCAATGGACAAACATCAGTACCTACATGGCTTGCCTTGACATGGAATCTATAATAACATTTGCTAATGAGTCTCACCAGGGTTATTATGTGTTACCCGATATGTGGCTATTATGTGGCCATAGAGCCTATCGCCAGGTGCCTAAGGATTGGAAAGGCACCTGTACACTGGGCCTTTTGACTCCTGCTGTATATGCCTTGCCTCACCTCCCTGATGGACGCCTGTGGAACAAACGTGATACTGGTTCCTCGGATCCACCCCTAACATTGGGTGGTAGTTTAGAGACTCAAATCAGCAGAGGGATTCTACCCAGTCTAGGAGTTGCCATGAACTATAGGGACCTTCATTTGCTTAACAATTGGACTGTTCATATGTTTAATGAAACAATCAACAGCATTAAAATGATTAGTCAAGAAATGGGGGAAATAAGGGAAGTAGTTTTGCAAAATCGGTATGCTTTAGATATTATTTTAGCAGCAAAAGGCGGTGTGTGTGCTTTAATTCATTCTCATTGTTGTATGTATATACATGATTTTCAACCTAATATTTCTGCTACAGCCAGGAAAATGGAATCTTTGCTCCAAAATAATCCCTTACGCAGCGATGGATCAGGCACCGTGGATATTTGGGGTGCCCTTTGGTCCTGGCTACCAGATGGATCCTGGCTTCAATCTTTGATTTCTATTATAGTAACCATTTTGATATTATTTGTATTGCTATGTTGTTGCATTCAATGTATTCCCTCCCTCCTGCAAATGTGCAAAAATGTTACGCCCTCCACTAGGAAGGACGCCTTAATCAGTGAATCAAGATCCCTTCTGGAACTGGAAGTGAGTAACATTAAAGAAAAAACACAAAAGCAGGAGATGTGGGATTAATTGCACAAATATGTCCATGGGCATCTCCCACAAGGGCGCCTTGAGATAACAAACGGACCGCTGTAGGCACAGGATGCATTCATCAACCATTTGGACAGACTCTGATAAGAACACCTGCAGTAGCCTTGCATCTGGAAAGTGTCTGTTATTTGATACATTGTAACCACCCCTATATACGTCTTTTGCTTACGCTGTGTGATGTAAAAACCTTAGTAACAATAAAATAGGGTGCAGGAGTCAGCTCTGGGCTCCCATCCTGAGATACTTGTGTGCGTGTCTCATTCTCCATGGGAGACCACCACAATTAAGCATCTTAATGGTTTTCAATGGGCACTCCAAGTGGATGGAACTGTGCTTGCTGATCTGTGTAAATATAGCTTTCTCCTTTTTCCATTCGGAAAAGAAATCTGAAGGGGAACTGTACCCACATTCACTTGATCATGAATGTAGTCTCCACATCATTCATAATCTGAATAAAACAGGATCCTGGATCGCGAGTACAACGCTTCTCCAAATCCTCAATATAAGTTTAATGGGCTTTTATTGCTACATAGTGATATGATAACCCATATTCTTAACTAAATACGTAAATGACATATTTGAGTATCATGAGCCTTATTCTTTTGCTGCAAAGTCAGTTATCTGACCTTCTCAGATTGCCTTACTATCTTAAATGAGGATTATATTCTAATTCTAATCATATTTCCAATTTTTAATCTAAATTTGATTTACATAAAAAATTAAAAATTTAACCTCCAGTGTGCCAAGCCATAAACAATCCAAATCAATGATCTGGTTTCCTAGACATCTGATATGAGATTTCCATTCAATATTTAGACTCCAAAAATTTGCTCTGGAATCTATTGTTACAATAAAAATAATCCATGAAAAGACACACATTCACTAGCAATAACAGGAAGGAGAATAATGTAAGTTTCCATAGCAAGCAGTATTTATACTGGACTTTCTTTTTTTCACAATTTTGTATATGCCAGTGGAAGAAGACTCAAGAGAGAGGGAAAAAAATTAACCTGTCAGAATTTAATTCTGCTTATTTTAATTAAAGCATATTGTTCTGTATTTTTTCCAAGGCATTACTGTTACTTAAAATACAGACAGTAAACTACAAATTCAGTCCATTCCTATATCTGTTTGTAAAGAGAATTCAAAACATTATTTGAAGATTCATATTCATTTAATACAAATTTCTTTTTCTAGTTCCATTGTTTTGCAGTCTTCTCAATGAACAATTTTGTAAACAATTGCAGTTATATGTGAATGGTTTTGAAATGTATAGATTTTTTATATATTTTTATTTGATGATCTGCATCATAAAATTTGATGGCTGAAGATTTCAAGAACTCCTAATTAGATAAAATTGTATTAAATATGAATTAAATGAATTAATTCCCATCCATATTGTAACAGTAATGTGGAAGGAAATTTTACATTGATATTAATTTAAAAGCAATGTAATACTAATGAATCCCAGCTAATGTGTTGTGGATTCAGATTACCCTCAATTGTTAATGTCACTACAACAGAGATGGGTGAGTGGGAGGAATGTTTAATCATGGGCTAATCTTAAGTGTAGGTTAAGTGTCAACCCTGAGTAGGAATGGGACCACTATTAGGAAGAGATGAAATTCACACATTTAGATTACTTTGCTGGGGAAAAAGGAAAAAAAAACCTACTCAAATACCTACCCTACGGTAAAAAATTGCCTCATCTCCTGTCGTCGAGATCTCATTAGTTGTTTGTATTCTCCAATGCGCAGTTTTTTGCCATCAACAATGCAAGTGCGTTTTGGTCTGGGTTTATATTTGTAATTAGGGTATTTTTCTAGGTGGATTTTACTTAATCGTGCTTGCTCTTCATAATAAGGTTGTTTCTCTTGGTTTGACATGGATTTCCAGCGGGAACCTGCATAGGAAATATATATATATATATATATCAGTGAATTATTGAATCTATTCATTTTGGGGGTAACAAACCTCTAAACAGGAAGTAGGAATCTGGCTGTGTGATAATTCCAACAATCTCTGACCATTAACCATTATGAATCAGCCTAACTGAAGTGGGTCCAAAAATATCAGAAAGGCCAAAGATTCTCCAAGCTTGAACTTACTCGTAATCCATAATTCATTTTAATGCATCAGCCAAGCCAAATCAAACTAATTATTATATATTCTTCTCAAATGTTACCAACCTTTTTTATACTTCATGCAAGTTGTGAGAGCAAAACTAATATTAGCTCTGTCTCCCTCTCCATACTCATTATCCTTATGAGCAGGGAAAAATATCAGAGCAAGAAACTTCTTGAGGTAGACGTTACCCTTCGGTATAAAAGGTAGTCTCTACTAGAGAACCTCCATTTGCAGAATAGATGAAACCTTCTCCTTCATAGTTTCAGCCGGAAACTATGAAGTGATAAGAATGAAAATATGGAGTGAATGGCATATTGTGATAATTAAGTTTCAGAATATGTGAAGAGGATATAAAACTTCTCAAGTAACTTCTCAAGTAAGTAATTTCTGTGTAGGTGAAATAAAGAACTCACCATAGTTATGTTAAATGTGATAATAATTTCAGCATGCTATCTATTAGGAAATTCTTGGTATATCCTTGAGACAAAGACCAAAATCATCACTATTTCTACTACTCAATCATTAATTTATTAAGAGATGGTACGAGGCAATTTTTAAAAGCTGTGTAACTAATACCATCCATCATGTTGGATCTGAGGCTTTCTTTTTATTAGTATTACTCTTCAGTTCTACACTGCAAATATCTTTTATATCTAAAGTGACACTTAACTCTTTTTGAAATGGAAGGCTTATAGGCTAAGGAAAAAAATACTTATTACTTTTTAAAAATCTCAGTAAACATACCTAAGCCCTTTACTGTACTAAAAATATCTGATTTAATTACTTGGTCAATCTTGAAATCAATCCACAGCTCGTGAATACATATTTTGAAAGTAAAAAAAAATCTTATAAATGTATTAAATATAATAATCTAAGAGTAAGCAAATTGCATTTTAGAGATGATCCTCTAATCATCTTGGCTTTGATTTAGCTTTCTTCGTGACTGATTCAGTGACCCCTCATTATATATTATATATATAAATTATAGGTTAGATTAAGTGTATGTACTTAAAACTTCCATGGAGAGTACATGTGCAATATCTTTACTACTTTAAATTACTATAAAAAATAATCAAAATACACTAATAAAAGAATACCTACCATTAAAGGGAGAAACATACCATGTTACTTATACAGAATTACTTAAATAGCAGAGGAAAAACTTTCAGCTGGTTAAAAACGATTACAGCTGTGGTCAACGTGGGTGAAACCTATTCTTTTACTAAATGCTTTTATATTTCAACAAATGGAAAAATTGTATAAATATTATCCAGAGTCAATAACACTCTGTCATCAGTTTTAATATTTTCAGCTTTTTTTTGTCATTGTCCTGGAAAATGTGTGCCAATATTATATTTAAATTGTCACATTTTCTTTCTCCCTCTCTTTTCCTCTTTCTCTGGTGGTAGCGAGGTAATTCCTGGCACATTATATCTTCTTTAAAAACATATGATTGCTGGCACTTCTGAAATATTTATACTGAATGTTTGCATTTCAATGAATACTCTTACTATACTTATAACAGTTTTTTTTTCTTTAAAGAATGCACACAAATAATGTGGACTCCGTATATAGTTGCCAAAATTAAACAGTACATGTTTTATAGAAATCTGAAAGACTATTCATATAACATACTAAAAACAGTAGACAAACACCTAAGCACTTCTATGAAAAACACCACATTTTTTAGAACAGAGTTACACTTATTTTTAAAGAGTTTTTTTATATCTCTTAAAGAAAGAAAAAAGCTTATAAGAAAAGTAGCTTTGTTAAAATGTATAATAATGCAAAATAAATTCATTTCAGATGACAATTGTTTGTCTATTAGTTAAAATTTATAATCTTAATTTAAAGACTTGGTGGGAAAATATCTATTTAAACATTTCCCTTCCCAGTTAGCCATAGAGACATTGTAATGCTTCAAACAAATCTTGAATCTTAATTCTGTAGAAAATCAACAGATTATTTTTTTGTGAGATAAAGTATAACACTGGATAAAAAAAATGTAAGTAAAATGAACTTAGGTATTGAATTCTTAAAACATTTTTATTTAACTCTCTTATTGTTAGTTCCATTTTAATTATGGAATAATTGTTTAGATGCTAGGGAAAAAAATTATTATTCAGTTTGACCATATTACTACCAAAGCTTTTTATTAATACTCATTTAAATATATTCCCCGTGTAAAAAAATATTCGATAATTTTCTCTCGCAGAAAGCTCATTTTTCTAATTTCCTATGATTTCTTATATATGGGTGCAATAATATATTGCTAATTATCTCTGTACAACATAACGCTACTGACATCCAGGTGTAAGAAGGAGAAGACATGAGCTATACTGAGGCCAATAAAGTAATTCCAAATCTCAAACATTTTGTCAGTAAAGAATTCTCTGGTTTGGGTAATTCACCTATTTTTGATGGGACTGCATACTCTCCTAAAAAAAAAAAAAAGGCATATCTCAGGATTCCTCACAGAACTAAAAGGATCAATATAGATCCAGTTTCAAGAAGCACTTTTTCCACTTTGAGCTAGATTATAAAACAAGACAAAGCAATACAAGTATTAAAATATATTAAATCATAAATCCTAGAGATGTAATCAAGTGATGTTGTCTTTCATAAAGATCTTGGTTGTACTACAACCCACAGATATTTGCTTGGCATTCAGTACGAAAAGGGCTTGTGGTCCTGATTCTGGGCAAGAAATGGATCTGTTCCAGCTGAGATACTTTGTACATTTGAATTAGTACTTACCAAGAATTTTGCTAATGTTGGAGTTGTGCATGTCAGGAAAAGCTTGAAGAATTTTCCTGCGTTCATCCTTTGCCCAAACCATGAAAGCATTCATTGGTCGTTTGATGTGCGGCTCACTGCTGCTTCGTCCCCGGGCATCTCTGTAGACTCGCGCTTCAGCCACAGTAGCACCTCCTGTTGGCCAACAATAATACTGCTGTAGTTTAGCTGCAGAGCCATTCATTGCTTTACTTCCTGTAATGCCAGAGCAGGAAGAAAGGAGATGGATGCCAACATTATTATTATGTTATCTGGATTAGGGATAATTTCATAGGTCCTTCTCATTTGCCTCTTCCGGAAATATGAAGGAAATGAATACTAAATTCAGCTATCAATTTAATCAGTTTTGGTGTTTCTTGGATACTTGCTATCATTCCCTGTAGCAATGGGTGTAGCAAGTTTGTGATACTTGACTGAAATATTGGGATGAGAGACATTTTGATATACTGTATGTTTAAAAGAATGTACTGTACATTTCCACAAAAAGAAAGTGATGCAAATAATGCTAAACATGAAGTGCATCATAGGAACAAAATGTAACTGTCATATACTATAATTATGACAAGACTAAAAATAAAAAAACTTTATTCTAGATTGCTGCCCACATAGATGACAAACCCTCAATGACTCTGAAAATTTGATGAAAACTAAACTGGTGGAAATCCGCAAAGCAGTTTTGATTTTATAGTGCAGACAAGTTTTATATTGTCTTCACTTTTGAATCTATTTCTTTCAATTACACAGAAACCCAACCCTGCCAATTGTTGTAAACAAAATCAACTGTAGTTTAAGCACACAATTATTTTGATTGTTCTGTACAAGCAATTCATTTTTATGGATAAAATCGTGGAACAGAGGATGCATAACTAATATGCTACCTTTTTGCCAGCATGTCTACAGTACATTAATTTCATTTAAAATGCACTGACCATACAGGATAAATTGATTTCACTTTATATGATGTTGACAGCTATGTTTATTGTGCAGTGAAATGTAGTGTAGCTTCAGGCTGACAATATCCATCAACACAGGGCAATATGTTGACTGCTGGGCCAGATGAAGATATACATTATCCTAGAAGTAAAACACTTACTTATATGTGACACTGTCTTCTCTTAAGGATCACCAGAGTAATTTATGAAGCCCTCAATACCATTACTTTAAAACTGACACCAGTTTTACCACAGCATGCAGATAAAAGACAAGTCTGCTGTGAATGTCAAATGCAGTGTTTTAACAGTAGCATAAGTTTAACTACTGTGCCATAGCTTTCCACATTTGCTAGCAATAACTGTTACAGTAGCCTCTCTATCATAACACCAAGCAGATGGAAATATACCTGGTATCTAACAGAAAACAGTAAACCCAAAATTGAGTTTTGCTGCAGAAGCTCAATGTGTAATTCTGCATAGACAGTGTCTTTCATACTAGCATTCTAACTGGATTTTAGTATTAGATTTCATTGTTATTTCAAATATGGAAGGAAAAAAATATTGATATCATCCAATTTTAAATTCCTAAGTATGCAGTAGGAATGGATGAAACATTAATTTTACATGTGTATGTCTGTGTCTGTGTGCGTGTGTTTGTGTATGTGAGTGAGAGGAGAGGAACTTCAGCTATATTTTTTTAACATGCAGAATAAACATTTACGCCTTAATCATCCAATGTTTAATGTTTTAATCAACTATCTCAGTCAATGTATATTTGGGGATCAGTGTCAGATAAGATGATCCCCTTCTCAATCCCAAAATGCTGCCTCATCGTGGTGGGGGAGTGCTCCAGGGAGGGTGAAAAAATAACATATTCTCCCAGCAAGACAGTCATCTTGGCTGTCTAGCTAAAACAAGCAGGCAGCTATCTAGGGAGGGATTGGAGGTGGATGATCATGTTAATGACAAGAACAAATACTTAATTTCACATTGCACCATAAAAGGCAGTGGTAAACCTCTTTTATATTTTATCAAGAAAACAATGTGGATAGAAAATATAATGTGACTGACAATATAGTATATGATGGTGGGCCTCTGAGGTTGGATGGTACTCAACATGCTACTGAAAAAGAGCTTCAAACATTTTACTAATAGTGTTTTTGACACTGTTAGAGGAAAGCCTTCCAGATGTGTTGTTGCTAGTGTTGCCAGACAGAAAAAGAAACTCTAAAGGTGCAAAGATATTGAGAACATGAAACACAAGAAGCATAAGCATGGGAAAGTTTAACACAGTGAAAGATGGAATTAATCAATGACACTTCTTTAACATCTTAGATGTCAGTGAACTGAAATGGGCTAGAATGGACTTTTTTTCAGTCAGAAGATCACACTGAAGAATGTTATTTATTTCATTTTAAGGAAGAACATAGCAAAACCAGTACTGATATGTCAACTCAATTTTAAAAATGAATTAATCGTTCAATATGACAATTCTCCAAATTTATAGCAGTGGTAAGCACACTATCAGAAGAGCTGAAGGGCTGGGTTGGAGGCAGATCATCCTGAGGTCACTAAGACTTGATGCCAGTTTGACAGTAATCAATCATGGCTAAGATGACAGTTTATATGTAGAGGTTTAATTCAGCCAAATTCATGAAGTAGAACAAATCTATCCTGTTTTGGATGAGATCACAGTCTCTCTGATGCAATGCATTTGCAGACAGGAATGCTATTGGATTCAGGCCACCATTGAAAATGTAAGAAATCTATAGCGACACACAGTGCTTTTCCCAAGCATAGAATTCTAGAACAATCACAATCCTTCCTGAACAGAGATAGCCCATCTTCAGTCATTTATGCCCTAGTAACCTATTTAAACTACTGCAATATAGTGGAACTACCTTTAAATATCTTGAAAGCTTAGTAAGTTCGAAAATAGTGTTGCTAAGATACTAATTGGGACAGACTATTTTGTTAGCTCTTAAAATGTTATTGAGCCAAAAGACTTTGCTGTCACAGTGGCAAAAATATTGTTTATACATCTGGCAGCAGGGTAGATTTGTTTTTGCAATAAATTTTGCTTGGAATGACAGTTAGTCTTTTGGTAAGATATACCTATGGCTAGATACAACCTCCCTCCACCACCACTCATTGCCTGCTATTGTAGTTACCAGGCAGCCTGAATCAGCATATGAGAAGCACAAACATCCTCTGATTGGAAAAGCGATGCCTCAATTTCTTTAGAAATGTTCCTCATCAAAAACATATTGAAGGCATTGAATTAGTTTATCGGGTTCTTACAATCATCTTGATCTAATCTTGGGGATCTATTACAAGCAAATGACCAGTACATATTTCTGCACTTCTAAGCAATCAGACAATCGGAAATATTTGCTGAAATATAAACTGTAAATTATTTGGAGAGGTTATATCCCAAGATAAATTTACTAAAGCAAAAGGGGAAGACTCTCCCCTGGCATTTATTTTGTTTTAGTGTTCATTTGTTAGGAAACAATTCTTAATCAGAGTTATAAATCACAAACAGACCAAACATGTCATGAAACTTCTATCTCCATCTGCCTTGAGCAAGCCTACACTTGAAAGATTTGGAAATAAAACCAGTAAAGCCTTGAACTTCTCTACTTGATCTCTAAGTGAATATTTGTGCTTCGGCCCAAGGGCTGCTATGAAAGAATGTGTGTGAAATGAGCTTCTGCAAATAATTAACCATCATGTAATATTCCATACTCTTAAATATCTTACCACTATAGGAAGATGTTCAGCATATTATAAATGACAAAGAGTGCTTCCATTTATAATATTTACTATATCACAGATATATTGCTAATTCACTAATGCTACGGTGATTTAGTTAAAAAGTTAAAGGCATCAGTGTTTGCTCCTTGTAAATTTAAATCTATAACCCTTAAGAAAGAAATTATTTGTAAAATAACAAATAATTGCTACAGAATTTAAACATCAGCCAAAAAGTAAAAAAAAAAACAAAAAAAAAAACAAAATCAAAACAAATCCTTTTCTTTAAAAATCAGCTTATGGAATTTCAAAGACTTTGCAACTTTCAGTAACCAGGGATGGATATATGTTAATCCAGTCTGAAATCTGCCTAAGTTTATACCAGCTGAGATTTATGTATGAAGCAGAATCTACTTCTGCACTGAAATACTCCTCAGATTTTTGTAATATTGTTTGCAACACGAAATGTATGTACTATATCAAGAAAAAGTCAAAATGGGTGTAGTTGGGGAAAGTGTGCAAAAACTATATTAGAAAAGGATGTAATGTAATAGTGAAATAGAATTGAGGAACAATTATCAGAAGAAAGAGAGCATCAGAGCTATGAGAAAGTAAAAAGTTTACTTCAGGCTCAAACATACAGGAGAAGGGGAGGGCAGTGGTGGGATTCAAATATGTGAACAACCAGTTCTCTGTATGGATGCCACTCCCAGAAGTTCATTCTGGGCCTGGACAACAAAAAATTAGCTACTGGTTCTGCCAAAGTGGTGTGAACTGGCTGAATCCCAGCACTGGGGGAAGGGAGGGGGTGTTTGTTCTAGTAGCAAACAATAGATTTTGTGGGATCCCAGCTACTTGGAGATTCACAACTGGTTTCTAAATTCAAAAAAGTATGCTGAAAATGCATTTGCTGAAGAGAAAATTTTAAAAATTATGCATTTGCCTTTTATGACAAACAGCCTCTGTGGAAGTGTACCTTTATAATTCAGTCACAAAAGCATAGCTTTCTGAAGTTCAGAAATACTAGGAAAGGATCAAGAGTTGATTCAAAAGAATAGATAGGGCTAGCTTGTTTTAGATTTTTTTTTGCTCCTTTTAGCCGAGCCTTTAAATATGGTATCATGGAAATCATGATACCATATTTATAGGTTCCAATTTAAGGAGGTAATAATTAACTAAATATTCAAAATGAAAAGTTTTGTGATGCCTTAACAACTAGGACTTCTTTTACTGCATACATCTTTATGCATGATGGGAGCCATATTTGTATGAAATGTATATAGAAGTGTCCGTGTATTTGTGCACATGCATGCATGTGTGCATATACACGCAGGTATAGATTTTTTTCAGAGCTCTAGTTCACACATATGATGACAAAAGCTCAAGTGATAATATATTTATAATTCAAATGTATTATATTTTGGAGCCCGTAGTCCTAGTCAGGGAATTCTGGGAGTTGCATATTCCATACAGCTAAACTGTACCAGGATGGAAAACATTATTTGATAG